CCTCCCCGTACTGACCACTCACTCACATACAACAGGTTTAGCGAGCGGTAGATGGACTCACGGGCTATGTTTGATCCTCTGAAGATAGGCATTCCCTTAGAAGAGTCATATGAATAAATGGCATATGCCTTGCGTTCACTGGCGGATCCAGGCTTGCGTTTTTTTTTTGGGGGGGGGGGGGAGGGGCAACTCATGCAGGAGCCAAACCTGGTGTACCCCCAAATCCTGTTTTCTCATCGGATTTAGGCCACTTATTTTTCGTCACAGCCCTGACACTATAAATATTTTTTTAACAAAAAAGAAAAATATATAACCTTCGCCCCAGAAGGGGGGGCATATGTTACCACCCTGTCGCGTTTTTTGCGTGTAAATAAAAAACCACGGCGCGTAGCGCCGCGCCGCTTGGGGTAGCTTTTTGTACATCCATTTTGAATAATGTGTGAAATTGTTGACCCCCAGTTCATGTCAGGTCAGGTCACCAGGTCAAGTTAGCTGACCAAGCCTAGAAAAATCACAGAAGGTTCAGAACATGCCGACTGTACATCATCTTACTACTATTGCTGCTAGCAGGTGATGTGGAATTGAATCCTGGGCCCACTCCGAAGCAGGATTGCAATAACACAAGCATTCCCGAGTTGACCAATGCTACCGAGAACGAGCCAGAGAGTTGTGCCTCATGTAACCAACCGTTACGAGGCTTACATCTGCGATCTCGCTCCTTCAATGGCAGTATCGTCAGATGCGCGGAGAAAAACTGCAAGATGGCCGTCCATGGCCACTGCAAAGACGCCAGTGCCTTAGGAGCTGACTGGAAGTGCTACAATCATCTCAATACTCATCCTCATCCAGATGTCGAGATTCCCCAGGAACTGAATGGTACTTTCGAAGAGGTTGCGGCATCAGATGGAGGCCCTGAGACTTACGCAACTCAAAATCGACAAAGTCTCCTCCGACGTCGAACAGCTGAGACGGGAGTTTCAGACTTTAATGCATCGAGACACAAACAGATCGGCGTTTGCCTCACCGACGCGGGACGATACGGTGCCGAGAGATGTGGACGATAGAGCAGAGCCCAGGAGACGGCGAAACGACAGAAACGACGAGATGACTACAGGCATCTGCAGCACTGGTAAACCGGACCTATTAATCATCGGGGACTCAAACGTACGCCGACTAAAGGACAATAGTGCCACTCAGTCCAAAGTCGTTTTTAGGTCTTTTCCAGGTGCCACTGCTGATGAATTAAAAGGGGAGCTAAACGGAAGGTTAGGTGAGCCCGTCGCGTCGAAGGTGGTGTTACATATAGGAACAAACGACTTGACACACAAAGGGTCAGAGCAGGTCGCTAGGGACATCGTCAATTTAGCACAGTATGCGAAAGGTCGTTCTGGGGTAGCGCAAGTGTACATCTGTAGTGTAACGCCACGCAAAGATCTAGGATCTTTCATCTATAGTAGATCTGAAAGCGTCAACAATCGACTTCGTTCCCTCTGTGCAGATAAACCTGGAATCACATTTATCGACCTGCGGCTACGGCTTGAAAGGTGCCGTTTCAGTGGCCTGAGAAGGGACGCTCTCCACTATAACAAAGCTGGTGCTTCATACGTGCTTAACACGATCGTGGACTCGGCAAACGTTTTTTTAACGCACGAATAGATGCCGAGCGCCACTTGGCTAACAATTATGTTGGGTTAAATCAAGAATGTTTAGCTGATATTGGTATTGGAAATTCCTGTGAAATTGATGGTGAGACCAGTGGTAGGCTAGTTCTTGCGCTTCTGAATTGTAGAAGTATAAGGTCAGAAGACAAGGCCAGAGAATTTAACATGTTTGTGCGAGAGCACAAGCCAGATGTGATAATGGGAACTGAGTCCTGGCTGTCAAATGACATAAGTGATGCTGAAGTATTCCCTCCCAACTTTATTACATATAGGAAAGACCGATGCAACAAGACGGGGGGCGGGCTATTTATAAGCGTTAAAGATGACATAGTCAGCTATAAAGAAGAGTTCAATTTAGAGGGTAACTGCGAAGCTATCTGGTGTCAGATAGTAAACAGACGTAAACAGCATTTCTTACTAGGATGCTTCTATGACCCCCCGAGTGATTGCGCCTCGTCTTTATCGGCTTTCCTGGCTGTGCTAGAAGAAAGAGCTCGATCCCCAAACCAAAAAATACTTGTTGGGGGAGATTTCAACCCCCCTGATATCGACTGGAATTACATGACGTCCAACAACGGGGCAAGGTACCAGCATAAGAACGATTTATTGCGCTTGACACTCTCAATAATTGTGGATTAGAACAAATGATTACAGAACCAACTAGAGTCGCTGGCAATGCAAGGAATATACTTGATCTTATTATAACTAATAAACCGCAATTTGTAACGAAGGTCACAAACTGTCTGGGTATTAGCGATCATTTAGCGATTACGTTTGAGCTGAATGACGTTTGGCGACGGCCAAAGATCAAAAGAAAAATTAAGCTTTTTAATCGAGCAGATTTCAATATCATCAATAACTTACTTTACGAGCAATATTTGCAATTTTGTGAGGAATCCACATCGCGGTCAGTTGATGATAACTGGATCAAATTTAACACGCGCAGTGGAAGGGTTGCGAGTACTACGCCCAGTGGAAGGGGGGGGCGGATGTCGCCCCCCCCCTAAGATCTCAGCTCCCACTGGAGCTAGAAAGACGAAATTCGGAGGGTAGGTGGAGGCTATGGGGAACTCTGTTGTGTGTGAATTTCATGACCCTAGGTCAATATCTTCAAGGTCAAATGAGGTCAAATGTGGTCATATCTGCCATATTTGCGACTTTTTTGCGTTTACACGCCGATAACTCGCAAAGTTACCGGCCGATTTTCTCCTTTCTTTCACTATACGAAAGACCAAACATTTGTGAGTATGTCTGGTGAATTTCAAGTTAATCCAACATTGAATATGGCAGTTAGAAGCCTGCTAAGGGTAAGATGTCGCCGGCTGAAGCGGGATCGGCCGACGCGGGAAACGCGGCAATTACAATTTTGTGTTTACACACTCATAACTCAAGTTGTTACCGGCCGATTTTCAAAATTCTTTGACCATATGATTGCCTGTACATTTCTCAGTCTTCTCATCAAATTTGACGCGAATCTAATGTAATCAGCGGTAAGGAGCGCGATGTAAAGACGGAACCGTCCCGCCCCGGCACAGTCTACAATTCAGGCGGCGCGTAACGGCTAGCGCCGGCCGCCGCGCCGCCGCGCCGCCGCCGCGACAGGATGTTTGACTTTACACCGCTATTACTAGAAAAGTTGTGAACCGATTTTCTTATTTCTTGCACGGGAAGATCCGCAATTCAATTCTGGACAGGTAGCCAAAATTTCACATTAATATTATGTTTGCGGCGCGAGTTATTGGCGAAAAACAGGAGGGGTGGGCGAAATCCGCCCCCCCCCTTCCACTGCGCGTGTTAAGGAATCTATAAGAAACGTAGAAAGACTTATACCTGTGGTGACTTGATGTAAATCAAATGTGTGTGACATGGATCCGGCGGTATCCGGCTACCCGCCGCCCTCCGCTAGCGCCACGCCTGCCGGGTAGGCTGACCCGGGCGGGGCGGCCGACCGCCGGGTCGCGGCGGCGGCCTGACCTTGGGGTCGTCAGTCGGGTCGGGAGCGCAGCGGCCGCCGGGCTGTGGTGTATTGGTATGGTGTCAGTGGTCGCCGAATACAGATACACTTCATTGGCGACGAGGACGAGATGGCGTCGTTCGGCAGCATCGGACCGTATGAAGCGGGGCGAGCGGGTCCTGGGATGAGTACTGCGAGAGGCTGGATCAATTTTTCATCGCAAATGAAGTAAGTGACCCTGCTAAGCAGAGAGCAATTTTCTTGAGTGTTGTCGGCGGGGAAACTTACGGGAAGCTAAGATCCCTTGTGGCCCCTCAGAAGCCAGGTGAGATGCCGCTCAAGGAACTGTTGACTCACTTGCAACGCCATTTTGAGCCAAGGCCTTCAGAAACAGTGGCCAGATTCAGATTTTTTACTTTTTGTCGGGCTGAGGGTCAGTCTGTGCAAGATTACATTGCAAAACTGAGGAAGCTGTCTGAACATTGTAATTTTGGTTCTTTCTTGTCCGCCATGATTCGAGATCGGTTAATTTGCGGAGTCAACTCGGACGCTATTCAGACGCGTCTATTGTCTGAAAGTAATCTCACACTGGAACGAGCTACCGAGATCGCTGTGGCTTTGGAGGCTGCTGGCCATGATGTTCAGGAACTGAGAAGTGGTTTCAGGGACAGAGAAGGTGGCAGTATCCAGGTCTCCACAGCGGACGTGCACCGAGTCGACAGAGCTCCTCGAGCGGCGGCAGAAGCGGGAGCCGACCGAGACAGGAGCACCAGGCGCTGGGGAGCCGGAGTTCGTCAGGTGACTGGTCAGAGGAGTGCAGGCGATTCTCGCAAACCAAGTAAGTCCAGCGCATCCGTTGCATCCGGAAATGATGCCAAATACCGGTGCTGGAGATGCTTAAGTGGGCAGCATCTTGACCGTAACTGCCCGTTCAAACTAAGACGCTGTTTCGAGTGTTCTAGGCTTGGACACACGCGAGCGGCTCACAGAGCAGGAACGGTTCACGTTGTAGAAGAAGACTTTGAGGTAGAGGCAGCTGAGCCGGCAGCTGAACAAGTTGGTCAGGTTGTCGAAGATGTTTATGATTTGTTCAGCTGTAATAGTGCAAGCAAACGGCCCCCTATTGTCATTACAGCTGAGTTGAGTGGCAAACCAGTCCAGATGGAGCTCGACACAGGCGCTAGTGCATCACTGATCAGTGAGGAGCTCTATGAAAGTATGTGGCCTGCCAGTGACCTTCCATTGCAGGACTGTCCGCAGCGGTTCCGTACCTACACCGGCGAGGAGATCAAGATCCGAGGTGTCGCCGAGGTTGACGTCGCTGTTGATGGTGCACCTGCGGTTCGACTACCGCTCATGGTGGTCCATGGAAAGGTCCCCAGCCTGTTTGGCCGCAACTGGCTTGAGAAGATACGGCTGAACTGGAACAAGCTGTTCGGTAAGTGTTCCGTGTACACGCTGTCTGCAATGTCGCATGTGCGGAAGGTGGAGGACGAGTTTCCCGCTGTTTTTCAGGAAGGACTTGGACGGTACACCGGTGGTCCAGTTTCCCTCCACCAAGACAGTTCCGTGAAGCCTCGGTTCTTCAAGGCCCGCCCAGTTCCCCTGGCTCGGCAGCAGAGAGTCGAAGACGAGCTCAAGCGGCTAGAAGAGGCTGGCATCATCAGACCAGTAAGTCACAGCGAGTGGGCTGCTCCCATTGTTGTCGTGCCCAAACATAATGGGGAACTCCGCCTGTGTGGAGACTTCAGGCTCACTGTGAACAGAGCAACAGCTTTGGAGCAATACCCATTGCCTAAGGTAGATGAACTGCTACCTAAGCTGTCTGGTTGTGCAGTGTTTAGCAAGCTGGATTTACGACAGGCCTACAATCAAGTTGAACTGTCGCCAGAGTCTCAAAAAACTGGCCACAATAAATACATCAAAAGGCTTGTATAGCTTCGTCCGCCTAGCTTACGGCATTCACTCAGCCCCGGCGATTTTTCAGAGGATTATGACGTCACTGTTGGCGGGTATTCCTCATGTGACTGTATTCCTCGATGACGTCCTGGTGGGCGGACGTGATGTAGCTGAACATGACCGAGCGCTTCGTGAGGTGCTCTCTCGGATGAGCAGCGCTGGTTTACGCCTGAACAAGAAGAAATGCAGCCTCAGGGTACCAGACGTTACCTACCTGGGGTACCGGATCAGCGGAAGTGGAGTGCATCCGACTTCAGAGAAGCAGAGGGCCATACTCGAGGCACCAGCTCCAGCGGACGTGTCTCAGCTACGAGCCTGGCTGGGGCTGTTGAACTATTACAGTAAGTTCATGAAGGGAGTGTCATCAGTTTTGTCACCCCTGTACCGACTGCTGCGAAAGGGTGAAAAATGGATGTGGGGCCCTAAAGAAAATGCAGCTTTTGAGGCGGCTAAAAATCTTATTATCGATCCACCATGTTTGGCTCACTTCTATGCAAACAGGGAAACGCTTCTAGCATGTGACGCCAGCCCTTATGGCCTGGGCTGCGTTCTGTCCCAGATTGATCCGGAGGGAAAGGAGCGGCCAGTGGCGTTCTACTCCAGAACGCTGACAGACACCGAGAAGCGCTATGCCCAAACTGACAAAGAGGGTTTGGCTATTGTCTCTGGCGTCAAGAAGTTTCATTATTATCTGTGTGGCAGGCAATTCTTGATCAAAACTGACCACAAGCCATTGTTGGGGCTTCTGGGAGAAAGTAAGCCTCTTCCAGTGATGGCCTCTCCTCGCGTGCAGCGCTGGGCTATGCTTCTGTCTGCATATAACTATCGGATGACTTATTCCCCAGCCAGGGAGCAGATACACTGCGATGCGTTGAGCCGCCTACCGCTGCCTGACAAGCCACAGGATGTCCCGACTCCTGCAGAAACTGTGCAGCTAATGGAGTTTGTTAATTCTGGTCCTGTCTCGCAGAAGCAGATCCAGATCTGGACACAGGCGGATCCAGTGCTGTCACGCGTCCTGGAGCTCACCAGAAACGGCTGGACGGCAGATGCTGCGGACAACACATCAGACCTGAAGCCGTACATCAACAGGCAAGCTGAGTTGAGCATCGAAAATGGTTGCGTTTTGTGGGGCAGTAGAGTAATCATACCGCCACAGGGTCGTCACGCTATGTTGTGTCAGCTGCATGAGGGTCATTTTGGTGTGGCCCGCATGAAAAGTTTTGGCAGGATGCACTTCTGGTGGCCGGGCTTTGACCAGGACGTAGAGAGGATGGCTGCAGGATGCCGTAGCTGCCAACGCTGGAGGAATGCGGCGCCTCCAACGCCTCTGCATCCATGGGAGTGGCCCCGCTCTCCCTGGCAACGGCTCCATGTCGACTATGGCGGACCTGTCAACGGGGTGATGCTTCTTGTCATCATCGATGCTCACAGTAAGTGGATGGATGTGCACATGACCAGAACATCCTCGGCTGAGGTTACCATTGAAAAGTTGAGGGAAACATTTGCATGTCACGGAGTTCCGGAGACTGTGGTCACAGACAATGCCAGATACTTTGTGTGTCCGGAGTTTAAAACGTTTTGTAAGCGAAATGGAGTCAGACATGTCACCTCTCCACCGTACTCGCCTCATTCAAACGGTCTTGTGGAGAGAGCTGTGCAGACGCTGAAGCAGGGCCTACAACGTCAGTCTACAGGTAGCCTGAGTACTCGTCTGTCGAGGTTTTTGTTCCGCTACCGCAGTATGCCCCACAGCGTGACGCAGCAGTCTCCCGCTGAGATGCTCCTCGGCCGGCCAATGCGGACTCAGCTGGACCTGCTGCGTGAAGACGCCAGACGGAGCGTGATGGAGGCGTACCAGAGGAAACAGAAGGCTCAGTATGACGTGAGAGCACAGCCTCGCATATTCCAGGTGGGAGACAAAGTGTACATGTATGTTCTTCCTCCCGCTGCGTCCGGCCCGAGGTGGCTGCCCGGAACAGTCCGACAGGTCGATGGCTGTTCATGTTGGATTTTGCTGGAGGATGGGAGGACCTTCCGCAGACATTTTGATCATGTGAGACTCAGACCCGTTCCCCTTCCAGACGTGTCGGTGCCGAACCACGAGTACCGGCGGACGATGGTGCCAGATGAGCCTCCGGACTCATCTGCTCTGGACAGCGCCGCTCACGCCGTCGCCGGAGAATCCAGAGACGCGACTGTGGACGGTGCGGAGGCGTCAGAGACCGGCGCCCTCCCCTCTGAGAAGTGCGCGGACGTCGGACGACATCCCTCGACGTCGTCGCCGTCTCCGCCGTCGCGGTTCGAGGCTGCGACCGCTTCTGCGCCGGTGTCGCGTCGTTCAGCGCGGGAGAGGCGTTGCCCAGTGCGATTCCGGGCGGGGCAGTCTAATCCTGTGGGGGAGGAGTGTGGTGACTTGATGTAAATCAAATGTGTGTGACATGGATCCGGCGGTATCCGGCTACCCGCCGCCCTCCGCTAGCGCCACGCCTGCAGGGTAGGCTGACCCGGGCGGGGCGGCCGACCGCCGGGTCGCGGCGGCGGCCTGACCTTGGGGTCGTCAGTCGGGTCGGGAGCGCAGCGGCCGCCGGGCTGTGGTGTATTGGTATGGTGTCAGTGGTCGCCGAATACAGATATACTTCAATACCTATTCGTACAGTTAATGTAAATACAGATCCCCCTTGGTACAATCGTAGACTGAAGCGTCTCGATGACAAGCAGAGAAAGTTACATCAAAAAGCCAGGCGGCTTGGATGTAACTTTCTCCTGAGAAAATACAAGGAATTTCGAGCATATGTCAAGCAGGCTCACAGAGAGGCAGAAAAACAGTATAAACTTAATCTTGGTTGTCTGTTAAAGGAAAACAGTAAATGTTTTTGGAAGTATGTCAAAACTAAGCGGGGCAAGGAGTCGGGCATCAAATCTCTTCTTTCTAAAAGTGGTTCCATTGTACACCAACCACAAGACATAGCAAATGTCTTGAACAGCCAATACAAAAGGGTTTTTGTTACTGAAAACGGGACAGTCACTCCAAATCTAGCGAGCAGTCGCACAAACGAAGAAATGCAACCAGTGACTATTGATTATCAGGGTGTTTTAGGTCTCCTGGAAAATATTAAAATCCACAAAGCATGTGGACCTGATGGTATTTGTGGAACCATTCTTAAACGCTGTGCTAAGGTAGCTGCTATGTTCCTAACATTTATATTTAAACAGTCTCTAAATATAGGAGATATACCAAATGACTGGCGTCAAGCTCTGGTTCATCCCGTTTTTAAAGGGGGTAATGCAAACCAAGCAGAAAACTATCGTCCTATTTCGCTAACATGCATTTGCTGCAAGATGATGGAAAGAATATTAGGATCCTCAATTGTATCCTACCTAGAAGACTTAAACCTCTTTTCAGAGAGTCAGCATGGATTTAGAAAAAAATTGTCTTGCGAGTCTCAGTTGATAATGCTTTGCCAAGACACCATGTCTTCAATTGATAAAAGAAACAGTATAGATCTTGTTTTCATTGACTTTAGCAAGGCTTTCGATAAGGTGCCACATAAGCATCTCATAAACAAACTCAAAATGTACAGCTTAGATGAGAAAGTAATAGGATGGATACAGGCTTTTCTTACCAATAGATCTCAAAAAGTCATTGTGGAAAATTCATACTCAGATGAATTACCTGTCACATCTGGAGTCCCACAGGGCAGCGTCTTGGGCCCAATTTTGTTTCTTTTGTATATTAACGACCTCCCTGACATAATGAAATGCAAGGTAAGAATGTATGCAGATGACGTAGTCCTGTACACGGAGGTCAGGAGTGATCAGATATCAAGCGACACCTTACAGACAGATTTAGATGAATTGTCACGATGGTGCAAAAACTGGAGTATGACTGTTAATGTCAAAAAGTGTGCTATAATGCGAATGTCCAGACAAAAATGTGCAAAAACACCGAAATATTATCTAAATGGTTTAGAAGTATAGGTAGTTAAAGAATATAAGTACTTAGGCGTTCACCTTTCGAGTACATGTAGTTGGCAAAAACATATACAATATGTTACAAGTAAAGGAAATCAAATGTTGAGATTTGTCAAAAGAAATTTTAGAGGCTGCCCGCAGACTGTTAAAGAAAGCGTCTATTTGACCTTAGTCAGGCCACTGTTAGAATATTCAAGCTGTGTCTGGGATCCAAGTGCAGAGGGAACGAAGCATGAACTAGAAATGATACAAAGACGTGCTGTAAGATTTGTTTTAGATGATTATTCGAGGGATAGTAGTGTTAGCAGGATGTTGTCTGATATTGGCTGGAAAAATCTAGAGGCCCGACGCCGAGCTGCTAGATTATGCTTGATGTTTAAATTATGCAGTGGCTTTAGCAGATTAGATGTCAGTGGCATCCTCATACAACCTGATTACATAGGAAGAAATGATCACAGCAAAAAGGTTAGACGACTTCAATCACGACTTTTGTCCTATCACAACTCATATTTTCCTCGAACTATCCGTGACTGGAACAACTTGCCTGCGAGGCTCATAGAAGCAGAAAGTGCCGCAGCTTTCCAAAAATATGTCTTAGAAGAAAATAACAATAAGTTTTTATTAACAATAGTAGTCCCCTTGCGAACGACAAATGCTTGAAATCAATTGTATGTCGACTATTTTCACATTACATAACTTATGCTCTGTGTACTGTGTGCCTATCATTGTAAAAATGTCAAAATGTGCATGGAACGAACGTGTGCGATTGTCTTGTTAGAAATGAGAGAGCAACCTGAATGTGATTGCGTATGACTGTTAGATGGATGGATGCTGGTCATCGTCATCGTCATGCGTTTTAGCAAACATCACCAAGGCCATTCTTTGGCAACTGTGATTGTGTCGCATGAATATATGAATATATGTTATGGACGCCTACAATTTGTATATCTCGGATTTTTTTTATATCCGTGACCTAAGGTCAGGTCAGTGTCGTGAACTTACCATTAGGTATAAGGCAATGGAGAAAAATGAAAATGCCTCTAGATCCGTGTGTACGCATAGGAACAGTGCAAGTATTTCAGAATCACAATGATTTGGACCACCCGTGAAGACCAAGGTGTCATTTTTGCTGATAGCCTCTAGAAAGGTCATCCGAGGTCATTTGAGGCTACAAACAGATTTTTGCCAATAACTCTCTATTGAAAAGAGATAGAACCTGGGGATGGCCTCATTGTGTTTGTCTTGCCGAGACGCATCGACTGAGATGCAACATGACCTTTTCCGGTCAGGTCATGACCTTGACCTGAGGTCAAATTTTCAATTTGACCTTTCAAGGTCAAATTATAGTTCATTCGACGCGTCTCAGCGAGAGGAACACGATTCTGGCAATAGAAATGTCGTGGCTTTTTTTAGTCGAAAGTTATTGCCGAAAAACACTTTTCGTAAAAACAGCTATTTTTTGAGTTTTTGCTTTCTGGAGGCTAAACCGTTGGCCTGAGGTCAATTTTGATGGTGGCCTTTTCGTAAGAAGAGTTTAAAAGCTATCGATTGCTTTTCCATTCGTTTTTCTAGCTATCATAGTTCCTGAGATAAATGCATGTTTTCTGAGAAATATAATGACATTTGGCAAATTTTGAACTTTGGTGACCTCCAGTGACCCCAATATTGTTCTAAGATGAAAATGACCTAAGTACTTTCAAACGTACGCAATGAGAGCTATCGACTGCTTTTTACCGCGTCTTCCTAGCCCTCTTAGTTTTTGAGTTAGAGGTGGGTGGTAACATATGCCCCCCCCACTAGGACGAAGTTGGCTGAGACGCGTGTTTCGTTTTTCCAACCAAAGGAAGGCGCTATACCCAAAAATACCCCAAATCGTAGTATAACGTAGTGTAAAATGAAATTGCACCACACTACAGCGTGGTGCAATGTACATACTACAAAGTTCCTAGTTTCTGGCGCTTTTAGACGTTTTACGGCGCACTTTTGTTTCCGCCATAATGTTATTCTATTTCACAGCTATTTTTGACTCGCAAAACTACTGCAGTTATTGCAACTCCGTCGATGGACGCTCAGCGCTGGAAAAAAAAAACAAATTATACATGTTTAAATCTCGAAATATATAAATTTAAGCTGAATCAAACCATGGCCAAATATTTTAAAGCAATTATTACACCTGAACACCACAGTACGTAGGTAGGCATGTACAGTAACGCAATTGCATATGCTAATGCTGAATAAAATATGAATTAATTAACAAAAGATATTACAAGAATAATAGTTTGACTATAAGTATATTGAAAGAATTGAAATGTTATGATAACTAGTACTGCTTATTCTGTGCTTTTTCTTAAAAAAAAAAAATTAATGAATACTTTCTTTCAGAAGCGACATGGCCTGTTGCCCTCAGTTTGTGGGGTGCTGCGATCATTCGTGTCCGAGACGTCAGCTCGCAAAATGCGCTAGTAGGGTGGTAGCAGCATGGTAGTAGCGTTCGTGACACAGTGCACCAGGCACAGACCTTATTGCGATGAACATCCTGCTCGTGTGCAAAAAAAAAAGATTAGGTAGCAAGCAATTAGTACTGAAACAAGCCCAAGGTTCTACCAAACCCTCAAACTGGTCACTCAGTTTGTAGAAGGTGTAGAGGAAAAAGTAATAAGATTGCAAGGGTTTCACATATATTTTGTTTTACACTAGTAACAAACGTTTAGTAACACAAGTTTTCAGTAACACACAAGGGACACCAGCGTGCGACATTCTGCAATACCTCCCAGTGTGCAATTGCAGCATCACACTGAGCAGCAATATCTGCCGTGCAAAACATTCGTGAGCTGAGCACTCAACACGACACAAGGCATTCGTTGCGAAACATAGGAACTCCAGTCACGAGTCAAAAGTAAAACACCATCCAAACACTCCCTCAAATCACGTCGCATCCATACATCCGCGAAACACACGCTTGCACAGCCCTGCCACAACCGTTACGTATTTTTTAACACGACGGCGGTTTTGCCTAGTGAGCTGGCCGACCGGCGGATTTTGCGCCGCTCGGCCTGGTGGCGCAGCGCCTTCTCGCGCCGCCGCGAGTCGCGCTTCTTACCAGCCGGGGCGAACGTCATGGTTCCTGAAGCCGGACACATGCTGCACGGCAGTGTTCGCCACGGGCCCCAAAATCCCCAGCCCAGCCCGGCCCGGGCCCATGGGTTCAGAGCCCGGCCCAGCCTGTAGCCCGCTCTTGGCAAATATTCCAAGCCCAGCCCGGCCCGGCCCGTCAAAAATAGCAATCTAGTTATTGTCTTAGTCTATTGCTATAATAAGCATGATTGATTACACTATTTTGAGAACAATTCAAATAGCATGAATATTAACATGGCAATCATGACCCCCTTCTTTTCAATGAATATAATCATTTCAAGCACCTATGGCACAAATCTTAACAGTAACAGCAAGCACCTCAGTCAATTAGGTCATGATTACACACCTATAAAAAGTTTACATGATTATATTAACTACATTCTATGAGTAAAGTTATCTTGCAAGCTGATGTGTGTGAACATTATCATTCATAATTGGTGACTCTAATGCATACTTGAAGGAAGTATTTGCAACATACTCTTTACTTCCCAGCACTTACCAGCAGAAAAAAGCTTGACTTATGGGAATTGATGAATCTGTCTGGGATTGACCTTGCTGTTAAATTCACTCCATAGATGCTGCAATATCAAAAGCCTGAGAAAGCATACAAAATAGGTGACACTAACTTTAGCACTGTCTTCCAAAAAAAGAGAAAATCCATCCATTTATCAGCAAAACTGATTTAATCTATTTTCAATTCATGCCCACGTGTCAACCGAATCTCTGTGGACAACAATCTGCTACTTTCCTTGCTATTTTATGTTAGGCTCTTTTCAAGATATGGATATCGCTAGCAGCGTAAGCAGAAAACATGGTAAGCTTGAAATGTCATTGGGTACTTTTACGACTTTTACGCATCATCACCATCAATCGAAAATGAGCGAACACTTCTTGATTGTCGCAGCTGCGGCAGGTAGCGATTCTGACCAATTGTATAATAAAACATATATGATCAAGTTTTTGTTTTGTTTTTCGTTCGAGTTTTCAGACTTTGTGATTTAGGTTTTATTTTTTATTTGTTTAATTTTGTTTTGCACCTTGATACTTACTTAAAAAACGTATTTATTTGATATACTGTTGTGTATACTACCTAGATGCCGCCACATAAACATAGCGCCGCCGCCATGATCTATATATGGCCTTGGCCATGATTGCAAATTTTGTTGAGAAGGGGCTGGTTTGTTGTGATTTATTTTGACAAATTTATGGACATTTAAAGAAGCTTTCATCGCGAAATACTCTGTAGAGTTCCTCGTTACTTACAGTGTGTTTTGTGAGTATCCTTTTAAGGTTCTGTTCGTTAAAAAGCCGTCGGTGAAGGAAAAAAGACTGTGTTGGAATTGTCTCACTATCGCCATATATAAGTGTTAAACTTAATGTAGCCCTGTAGCCCATCATTGTTGAGTGGCTTCTTAGTTTTTGGAGTTGTAGTGCTAAGTAAGTTATTCTGATGACTACATTTTAACTTTTATTAACTAACTAATGATGCTAGAGATTCTCTGATCTTTTTGGTTGCGGAATTTTTATGAAAACCCTCCTATGTGTGACATGATGTGATATTGGATAATTCTCAAGATTCCCAAAATTCAATATCAAGTAGGTTTTCTTTCACATTGCTTAAATTTGGTTTAGTTTTTGTATTTTCCCAGTGGGCTTTGTTTGCATCAGTTTCCAAATTTTCTTAAATTGACATTAGTCGCAAAACCCATAGTGCACAAAGCTCTTGGCCCGGCCCGTCCATAGCCCGTTAACTAATGATATTTGGGGGCCCGGCCCAGCCCGTAGCCCAGCCCGGCCCATGGCCCGTTGGGCTGGCCCGGCCCGTGGCGAACACTGCTGCACGGGTCCGTCGCTCTGCTGGCGCCGCAGCCGGTCGCCGAGCGGCACGCGTCGCGCGCGCCGGGCGCCGCCGGTGATCTCGCGCACACTGTCGCCATGCAGCACGCCAGGGTTACCAACGAGAATTTTTCTAAATCCCAAGATCGCCGCGCGAATTTCCCAAAATCGAGCTCCATATCCCAAGGTCGATAGGATCAAAGCCCAATGTGCATCCCAAGGTCTATAGAAACCAAATATAGAGCAAAGTGTATTTGACGTATTTTCAAATCTTTGGTTGACTAAATAAATCAATATCGTTAACATATCTTGCATTCGGCACAGTTACACACGCAGGCATAGGTACAGAGACACAGCCGCAGTCGCTCCCTTGCACGTTCCCTCACAGACGACACTGAGTTCTGACTTCTGACCTTCTGAGCCTGCACCCTCCACTCTCCAGAAAGACGAGCCGAACTCGAGACGGGTCGAGGGCGTCGCCGCCGCCCGCCGGCCGCAATACGATACGAGTTGAAGCATGATCCGTCGCAGTGGCGGATCCAAGGGGGGGGGGGGCAAAATGGGCATTTGCCCCCCCAAACGGCATAATTTTAACTACGCCTATGGACGATGCATGGAAAGAATCGATAAATTTTATGGTTTGCCCCCCCCCCCAAAAAAAAAACTGAGCTGGATCCGCCTCCGATCCGTCGGGCGTCGCAATTCGCAAACAGGCGGCCAGGTCGGGTGTTACCTAATCGACGCGGAAGCCACTGGGTATTTCGCTAACTGCCTCACTTGAGAGCTGGGACGGGAGAAACCAAGTGAAGACGCGTCAAATAAGGATAACTTATTCGTGCTTCGTTGGTTGCTTGGTAAGGTACAGTGAAACCAAACGAAAGAACGCTCGGTTGTGTTCGGCCAAAAAGGACGGTTTACAAAAAAAAAAAAAAAAACAATTAAGTTGTGTTAGATGTGTTCCTGATTCTTTTGTTTGGTCTTTATTCATACTTTTCCTTGTTCCAATGATTAAAAAAATGTGCTAAAATTAGCGGGAGTCGTAAGCTCGGGACAAATCCCAAGGTTTGCTGTTGAATCCCAAGGTCCCAAGGTCGGGTTCAATATCCCAAGATCTTGGGACAAAACCCAAGCTTTGGTAACCCTGCAGCACGCGCACCGGCAGCGCAGCCGGGTTGGCCACCAGCTCGGCGGGCCGTTGGCGCCGCTCGAGCTGACGCTGCTGCTGGCTCCGCTGGAGCTCGGTGACGTATTCCTCGCCGTCGGAGCTGTCCTCGGAGCTGGGCCGCCCCTCGAGCTCGAGTTCCTCCTGGAGGCGGCACTCCTCGGCCAGCCGCTGTCCGCGCTCGGCCTTGGCGGCCCGCTGCTCCTCCAGCGAGCTGAGCACCGGTTTCAGCAGCCTGAACGTGTCCGACTCGTGATCCATCGTGAAGTCGGGGTTCTTGAACATCGCCTTGAAGCGGTTGTCCTCCAGCAGCCCATGAGTCGTCTTCCTCTTCTTGATGTTAGACGACTTGGCACCGTGCATCAGATTCAGCGCCACGTCTGTTGACTGAGGGCCGCTTGTCCAATTTGACGCCGCTGTCGCGTATGGCATCCAGCTTCTCCTTGATCTTCATCTTGCGGTAATCATCGAACGAATCATCAAGTCCTCGGCCCTCGGGTACTCAGCATCTGCTGGCAGACACAACGGGGGAGTAGCGATATAAGTCTAGACAAACAATTGGCACACCCTAAATGAGATAAACGTGATTTGTTAAATGAATGCCATGCGGCAGTAAGACAGTTGTGATTTGTTTTTTTATACAATTTTAAATTATGTCCTTTAGCACTTTAAAAGTTATTTAACCGTATCACAAACCTAAGGTTACATTACATACTTTCATAGCTTGCTGATTAAGACGCGCAGCATTAAAAAAAAAAAAAAAAAAACGTGGAGCCTACATTTTTTGGGCGATTTTGCGATAATACAAGAACGCGATGCCCTTGGCGATGCCAGAAAATGTTCACCTAGCGCAAACGGCTGGGGTGAGCCAAACTGCGGAAATTGCATTATTGCATGAAATGTCATGCAATATTGCTCAAATAAATTCTCGCACATTATCACAAAAAAGTTCAGAATCTGATTTTTTGGCAATAATGCGATATTATCACAATGACAAAATCACACAGAAAAATTGCGTAGTGGAGCCTGGGCATCAGAAGATTTAAAATTTGTAATTGTCAGGATTGTTACCAACACGTTGCTATCTTCCATCCTTACACCAAACCCAAGGCTATATTGATATAAACCAAACCTCACCTTTTCAAGGATCTTGCAGCCAACGCCGGATTGCAGGCACCCACAATTGTTGCAGATCGTAACCCACACAGTCGCGTCCAACCTCCAAGGCAGAAGGCTAATAACGTACCTATAACCTGATATCAACCAAGATACCTATAAAAAACCTATGTCCTATACCGCCTATACCTATAAGATATATACCTATAAGATATCAACCGCCTCGTCCCACAACCAAAACACAACACCTACGCTGGAAATCGCCACCAAATCGCCACTTTGGAAATTGCAAGGGAATCTTGGAGTTGGCGGCCAAATCTCCTGTTAACGTAGTGGTAATCTCATTTTGAACCACACAATAGGGTATTTTTGGGTATAGCGCCTTCCTTTGGTTGGAAAAACGAAACACGCGGCGGCAGCTCTGTCCGACTGCAGTCAGCTGACACAGCTCTGTCCGACAGTGCCGAAGGTGACGGAGCCGAGGTGGCCGGAATGGTACGAGGATGATGGTCTGTCAGTGTCGCTCCAGGGGGTGGCTGCCGACACCATCAGTCACCTGGCTGACCTGGGACGGACGGTCAAACGGCTGGAGATATACGGTGAGCAGCGGCAGCACGGACAGGCCGCTGATATACGAGCTCAGCGAATGGCGGACACCGAGTACCTAATGGTGTGCCGTTGTCGCACCTGGAGAGCAGGGTTGTATACGACTCAATCAATAGCAATCAATTCAATCACGACAAATTTGGGAAACCAATCAAATCAATCAAGTCAGAGCAGTTTTCGGGAATTGATTCAATCGACTCAAACGCGACAATGAAAGGAATCAATCAACTCAATCAAACGACTCAAACCAAGATAAAATTAGGTTTTTGCCCCACCAACTTGGAAAAGTGTCCATAGCAGTCTGGTGTACCTACCTACCTACCTACCTACCTACAGAAGAAACATAAAAATATTGTCATTTAAAATTATAAATTGCCATGGCATTCAAAGTTTCTATGTAATAAGGAAGGATACCTAGTGATGGACAGGTGGATCATGATATTGAGGTTCAATGGGTAGAATTGTAGCAGAAGATTCATTTAATGGGTGCAAAATAACCCAGTAGTTGACTCGCCCCTTAACCCAAATCACCACCTTTCACCAAAAAGTTGTCAATTTAATTTTGGCCATATTCCAACTCAATTTACACTAAATATCAAATATTGCAGTCAAAAGTTGGCTGCTCGGATTTTGGCAGTGTTCGTGATTTGGCCATTTACCCTACACCATGTCTATTTTAATGGATAATATGCATCAATAACATATTAACCATAGGGAAATAGAAATAAATATCTTACCTGCATGTGACGGTTTCGGTTAGACAGAGACTGACGGGCAGCCTGAAAAATCTTTCCACACAATGTGCATTTGAGACGTGGGATGTCAGATTGGGAAGGAAGAGATTTGAAGTATTTAGCCGTCCACGACTCTGGACGTGGCATGTCAATGTTAGGTACCTATGTGAAGAATTCAAAACATTTTATTGCAATACAATTTGAAACTGTTAGGACTGGGGGATAGGGATGAGGATTAAAAATATATTTAAAAGGAAATGGAGAGGACAGGGACTCTGGAACCGCAGGATAAGTTAAGGACAAAGGAAGTAGGAACAAGGAAAATTAAAACGCGAAAACGGCACAGTGCGACTGCGAATCAAAGAAAACGTTTTGCCAATAAGTATGCTAAGCTTTTATAAATCCTTATTCTACGTCTTTTGATTTTTTGGTAAGATGACGTCATTGATTTATCATGTAGTATGGTAGATCATCATAAAATAAATCGGTTGTACAACACCAATTTCGTTTTAATTATTAGGTATTTCATTTAAAACCACTTAATAATATTCGGTAAAATATTTTAAGGAAAATGAAATATGTTATGCTTAGGCTCTCAGGAGAAGAGGATCAACAAACGCTCTGCTGCATATTAAACAATGCAGCAAATTAGCTATTAATTAGGTACGCAAACGTAATTAGCGAGACGAAAACGGCGCTTTTGTTTCAGTTATTTTTGTAGGGGTTTCAGATATTTATGAGTTCAGTGGGTTGTTTCTGAGGAGATGTGGAGATGTGAATTATTAATTAATCACACTTTATTAGCATATAGGGCCTTGCACTTTATCATCTGGATTTAAAAAAAGTTTCCTGCTGAGTGCAGAAAGGTAGGTAGGTGCATCGCCAGGTTCTATCACCAGGATTAGAGCAGTTATTGCAGTTGAAAGTCAAAGTTGGCTGTTCATGTTTAGGCCCTGTTCTTTATTTGGCCCTCTACCCCATATTGCAGTTGTGATGACAAGCAGTTTTCAGTGTAGTTTTGTGATCTTTGATGTCATCAATTGGTGTCATTATTTTTCGTCAACTAAAACTTATTTGAACCTTCCATTCAATCGACTCAATCATACAAGTCACTCTAATTTTCGGGAATCAAATCAGTCAACCAGTCACTGAAGTCAAACGAGTCAGTCAACCAGTCATCTCAAAAAGTCAATCGACTCAATCCAATCAACTCAAAATACGCGTTGAAACAAATCAATCAATTCAATCGACTTGATTGGTATACAACCCTGCTGGAGAGGGGTGCGATACATAGCAAATGTGCTTTGCGAAATAATGAAGCTAACTGAGCTCCAAAATCGACCTGAGGACTGTTCACTCAGTTACATATTCGTTCAGAGTTAGTTGATCATACTCATAACAATTGTGTTGCACTGTTCAATGAAGTTAAATGCATTTGCTTAACCTTCCAGGGGGTGGGGGGGGCATTTTTTGCCCCCCTTTAGTTTTTTTTTCAAAATATCTCGAGAACCGCTGCGCCGATCGTCACCAAACTTTCAGTACCCTCCCGGGAGCAGCTAGCACACATGGTGACCAAAAATTGTTCCAAAGGCTGTGATAGGTTGGCCGCTAATGACGTCAGAGTGACGTCATTTCTGCAATTTTCGACCCAAAAAAGGTTTCGCGGGAAGAGCTGTCAGGCCTACAGCTTTAGAGATACAGAAAAATGTTTTAGACATAAAAGGTGTGAAATCAAAAGGGCTACAAAACTGCCATTTCGGTTTTTCGATTTTTTTATTTTGAAACCAAAAATCAAAGAATAGATTTTTTTAATATAGTAGCCAAAAAATCCAAAAGTTTTTTGAATTTCGTAAAAACGGAATATATATGATAGTCCCTACCGCCTTCTATCTACACACCAAATTTGAGATCGATACCTCTTTTTTTGGCCAAGTTATAGCGAAAAAACTGCTCAAAATTGATGACGTCAAATTTCCAAACTCAATTTTTAGCAATTCTAGACCTCGTAGCGCAAAATAAAAACCACCATTAGACTCCCCGTGACGAGCTGCATCGAATCGATACCCATTTTATGCAAAAATATCAACTTTGAAATTTGACCTTTTTTGACCTGACCTTGACCTGACCTCCACCAGAAAGTGACCTAAACCGTACCTGATGGTCTTATAACAAACACCATTGAGTTGGAAATGAAAAATTGGCCATAAAACATGCATCGCATAACTTTAGTCTTGTTGACCCTTGGAGACCTGACCTGTGACCTGACCTGGTATGACCAGTGACCTCTAATAGCAACATATGTACTACACAACTGACGCCTTATCGCTGATTTTCGACAAAATGCGTTTTACTCGGTGTTATAGCGCTTTCCCTAGAAGCCCCGTGAACGGTGAAACATTGTATCTTTGACCTGACCTGTGACGTCATCGGTGACCCCGAGATCAATGAAATTTGGTTTCCCCGGACAACTTTGACAGGGCTATCGAACGCCGTTTGAATTGTTCGGATCCGTCCAGTAGTTTCCGAGATACGGGGGGGGCAAGAAAATGCCCCCCCCCACCTCGCGGAAGGTGGCTGGTAGGCCCACCGCCTGCTGGGTTAACTGATTGCTATATCATATAATACCATTGTATAACCATTGTCTACTGTGTCCATAAAACCATGCGAATTCATAGCTGTTTCGTTTTTCCCATATATTGACATGCATTGAAGTCGGCTGATCCTGTCTGTATGTGTGTCTGTGTGTTTTCCAGACTGTCCTGATCTCACGGCCGTGAGCCTGGAACCCCTCACCAGGTGCCCTGAGCTGCGATACCTATCAGTCACCGCCGCCGACCTCCCGCGACTGAGGGGGCAGCTGCCGGAGGGCCTCAGACTCCTCAATGTCAGAGGTGAGATAACGCAGATCACACATGTAATGCCGGTATATACAAATGAACAGGGGAGACGGCAAATTTACGAACCAATCAGCCTCAACTAGCAAGTTTCATCGTTAACCTTCCAGAGGGTGGGGGGGGGGGCATTTTTCGCCCCCCCCCCTTGAGTTTTTTTCGATATATCTCCAGAACCTCTGCTCCGATCGTCACCAAACTTTCAGTGCCCTCCCGTGAATAGCTATTGCACATTGTGACTAATTTTTTTCCAAAGGCTATGATAGGTTGGCTGCTAATGACGTCAGAGTGACGTCATTTCTGCCATTTTCGACCCAAAAAAAGGTTTCGCGAGAAGAGCTGTCAGGCCTAAAGCTTTAGAGATACAGAAAAATGTTTCAGACATAAAAGGTGTAGAATTTAGAGGGCTACAAAATTGTTATCCGAGATTTTTTAAATTCTTGGATTTTTGACCTCCCCAAAAATATATATTTTTTAATATAATAGCCAAAAATCCATTTTTTTTTGAATTTCGAAAAAAAAACGGAAGATATGTGATAGTCCCTACTGCTTTCTATCTACATACCAAATTTGAGATCGAAACCTCTTTTTGGCCAAGTTATAGCGAAAAAAAAAAATGTTCAAAATTGATGACGTCAAATTTTCAAACTCAATTTTTAGCAATTCATCTAGACCTCGTAGCGCAATAAAAGACCACCATTAGACTCCCCGTGACGAGCTGCATCGAATCAATACCCATTTTATGCAAAACTATCAACTTTGAAATTTGCACTTTTTTACCTGACCTTGACCTGACCTCCACCAGAAAGTGACCTAAACCGTACCTGATGGTCTTATAACCAACACCATTGAGTTTGAAATGAAAAACTGGCCATAAAACATGCATCGCACAACCTTAGT